ATATTAGTCCCATCTGCCTTCTCCGAAAGGGCTTCTACATGAGCGAGCACGTATACTGGGACGCGACTGCGACAGACAAAAAGGAACGGACGGCCGAACGCGTAGATACATCCGGATTATGCGCGGCCAATTGATCACGAATCTGACGGTGTCTGCTGCGCCTCTCTTGTTGCCATACATCGACGTGTTTACGGCAGTCTTTTTCACAGAGAGCGTCGCTCGTCTTCTCACCGTCGCGATCAGCATGAGTAACGAAATACAGCTCTCGAAAATAGTTTCCTCAAGAATAGCGCATCTCCCGAGTCGGAATTCTGATGCTACTCTGACGCTCTTAACCAGTTAACTGTGTTTGACGAGTGTGGACAGTTTGCGTCTACTTAGACGACCTATAGACTAATGAAAGCCTACTTTGATGATATTGATGCTTTTTAACTTCTCTTTTGAACCTTTAATTCTACAGATTGAATTTTAACGCTACCTTCATCGTCCTATTTCAACGCTAAAACAGCAAAAATGGAAATTTAAGACATCATCAGAATCAAAGTAGGAGTTATATTATATTATTAGAATTGAAATTGAACCTAATTTACTATACTACTTAGCTCCTATTATGTTGTAGAATTAAAGGTTTAACATAGGGCCAAAATTTCGACTCGGGCTCCCTCGTGTTCGTCCGTCGCGTGACAATTGCTTTTCTTTTCAAGCGTTAAATGTACTAATAGTTTTCCTCCTAATATCGGACGCGTTATTTCGGTGAAATTAGATCGATCATTAATCGAGTTCACGCGAGATGGATGATCCGGGACGCGCACCTCGGTGAGCGGGAGTGTGAAGGGAGAAAGACAAAGGGCGCGAGTGGGAGATGAGAAGAATAAAAAGGAAGCGGTCACAACAAGCGTAGAGGATAGTCGAGGGAGCGAGCGAGCGAGAGAATAAGAGCAAAAGAGACAGTAAGACGAGAAAAGAGAGAAAGAGTATAAGAGCTACGCAGAGGTAAAGGAACGGAGGAAAAGAAGGACCGAGAAGCGAAGGGGCGCTCTGTGTTTTACGTTCGAAACCAGTTCCTATGGTTTAATTTCTACGGGTGGACATCTTCCTTAATTTATAGCGCCGTCCTCGCCCCGTCCTGCGTCGCGACCCATCGTCGCCCCCGGACGTCCTTCGACATTTTATTGGGTCGCTCAGCTTCTCCTTTTCTCTCTTCTCTCTCTCCCCCTTCTCTCCCTCTCTCTCTCTCTCTCTCTCTTTCTCTTTCTTTCTCTCCCCATAACCCGTTGAATTTCTAATCCGTCCGCGTGGTCGAGAAATTCAGGCACTTCGAAAAAAGGACCGCACCTTTTGTCGTGAGTTCGACTTCGGTTCACGCAGCGCGCACGGTCATCATGTTAACCTGTGCTATGCTTCACACTTTTACAAAGACGACCGAAACTAGCCCATGGTGCCACGCAAAGAAATCGGACGGTAAGAGGCAAGTGAGGGAAATCTGAACGGACGAGGAACTGCCGATGTATTTATCACGCTTGCGCGCTAATTGATCCGCCGGTTGAGCGAATAACGCCTGTCATTTTTCTCGAGAACTCGTCCTATATTTTACATCCTCCTTTATCCCGCGTGTTAGCGACCGAATTACACGTGCTCGGAAGTAGGTAGGCCGCCCGGGAAGGCGCGTGTGTTTGCGCGCAGTCCGCTACTTCGAGGAGGCGAGGGTCCGCGGTGAGGCCCACGTGTAAGGTCCGAATAATGCGACGGGCAAACAAACAGCTGTTGAAACTACCGTGAACGGTCTCGTAGCCGATCCTGTTGATCGACGAACTATGAAAGTCGAATGAGACCATGTCGAATTTCGAAGAATGGGGACATAAGCGACGATCATAGTTAATTATCGAAGCACAATGCTCGACTGAAAGACGTGCCCGGGTGGTACGAGATCTACGGCGAAATTGGAGCATTTGTCGAAGCTAGGTAGAAAAGAATCGTATTGTTGTGCGATACTACGGATCAGGTTCTAATACATAGTCGGCGAGAAGGTATGAACCGGCCGTGTGTCGTAGAATGCGACCGGACTACGGTGAGGGCCTCGTGCCGCTTGCTGTACAGTTATTTGCGATGTGATTAGCCGCCGTGGAAACTGCGGGTGTGCGCGTGTGCACCATTTAGCATACGCAAATAAAACCAGCATCGGCGTCGTAAAGAGCCTTTGCTCGAGCCGCGAAAAGACTCGCCTCGGCTTTTCCGCAGCTGGATTCTGGAGCGTCTTGAGAGAGAAAGAGATAGAGAGAGAGAGAGAGAGAGAGATAGCTGCTTTGTATGCGCCAGAAATAGCGACGAGGAAATCTTGCCCGAGAAAAACGATGATATAACTATAAAAACGTTGATCTTCGGCATATGTCGCGAAACTGTGAAAATACCCTTCGACTTTTCCACCAGGAAAAATGCCTTGCGTGGAAAATCTGTTGGATTACGTAGTAATAATGAAAAAAGTATCGGACGTATTTACCGATGAGACGGATATTAGAGCGTGTAATATACCCGCGAGAATTCTCGTACAAGATAACGCAAGCTTTTCCGATGACGGAAGTACCTGAAATACGGCGTCGAAATAAATAGAGGATGATCAGAAAAACTCTTTGAGCTATCATTAATAAATTAATAAACCTTGTTTTTCCGGAAAAATCTTTCTGAAAAGAAAAACTCTTCCTGTATCACGATTACGTTGAGAAGAAACATCGCAATGTAGAATTTTCGTCCAAGAATTGCCTGTGCTCACGGATGAAGGACGATAGCTAAAATTAACCGATTTCTGCCTAGAGAGTATAATTTAAAATCTATATGCAACCTTATTTTTTTTGAGTTACTGAAAACGATATTAGCATTTTCACCCGTTAGAGCTATAGGAAAGTTTATCTTAGAAAGGTTGAAATAAATCACTCTTAATCCTTTTTTAATATGCCCTTCTTTCTTAAAATTTCAATTCTTTTTCAATAGTTTTTTACTTTAGGAGTTTGGAAAAATTTTTTTAAAGATTCGTTTTGTATATCTGGCCTTTTACTGACAAATATTTAGTGTTTGTATATTTAAACAAAAAGATGTAGATAAATAGCGAAGAAACAAGCTGTAGATGTAGATAAATAGCGAAGAAACAAGAAACTTGCTGTTTTTAATTCAGATACATAGACAGAAAACTCTAAATATTATATAAAATCAAACACAACATGAATATATGCAATATTATTGCTCTTTTATTAAAACAACAAAAACCTCACTGACACGCTGCTAATTTAACGCTCGACTGTAAAGAAAACAGAAACATTGAACAACGGCAACATTTAGCAATAAAAATGCGAAGTACATTTGAACGACGTGTTTTGCAGATATGCAAACATGTGCATTTAAATTTCGAAATTCAACGAGGACAGGAGATTTAGCATCAATACATAGTTTTGCATATATGCAAAGTGGCGCACTTTAAAGGATTAATACACAGTATAAAATTTTGTGTTAAAGACGGTCTACTGAAATTTTTGTGTTACTTTAACAAAGTGAATATGTTAAAAAATAATACATTTTGACAAGATGAATGTATCCTCATTTAACATATATATGTATATTTTTTAACGTATTTCTTATGTTTGCTTGTCAATAAAACCTGTCAATATAAAGTAACCCAAAAATTTCAGTGAACCATTTTCAACACAAAATTTTTTTACTGTGCAATGAGATTACTGACGATTTTGTTCTAATTATTTAATTATTCGTATTATAGTTTAGTCTTATAACTTTTTTCACTGGAAACTAACGAAACTAAGGAAATACTTCAAAATGACAATATCATCTTTTGCAATGAAATAATGATTGACAGATAAGCAGAGCGATTTGGAAGATGGGCAAGCATTGTCCCAAAAAAAATGCACTAAAATTTAAGAAGTAGAGCAATTTCTCGAAAAGTTATAATATTTCGGAAAAATTATTTTTTAGGAGATTATCTCTCGGTACGCATATTTCTATATTACGACTTTTCGGGAAATTGTCCTAATATCCAAATTTCAAGATTATGATTTTTGAGAACAATACGTGTCATCCTTGGGGCATTTCACATTTTCATAGTTGCAGATATTTTTGCGTGCACGTGATTGAAGGAAAAGTCAGGTATCATTTGAAATTACACTGCAAAAAGGATTTGGTAATAAGTACTAAAATTTTGTGAATATTTGCCGACCAAATATTTGCCAAATTTTAGTACTTATTATCAAATCCTTTTTCCAATGCACAAGTCCTGACCTATTTTACAATAATCTTAGCCTACATTGCTATGGAATTATTATCAGCAAAAAGAAGAAAAAAAGCACGTCCCGAATGCGCCTGGAATAAGCGAATACTCATTCGTCGTTGGGCAGGCCGCATTTCCACCGTTGCAGTCGGCGAGCGAGGGAACGTGCATCGGCTGCGCGATACATTGCCCAGAATCTAGAGGCAGGTAGGCTCAGGACATTCGAGAGTGGTGGAAGCAACAACAAGTCTGCAAAGTGGGGACCGATGGGTGGCACTGAACAGACTTGGTACCGCCGCGAACTCTTTGCTCAGCCAATCAGGTCACGACGAGGATCGCTGGCGGGCCCACCACAGGTACAGGCCTGAACCGATGGTTAGGCTCTCCAGATGGCTCTTACTACACGGGGTTCGCAGGTACAGTTCCGTACAACACGGCTCTCAAGTGATGCAGTCGAACAGGTCGCCCTGATCGAGAAGCATCAGTCCTTTCTCGTCCATCGTCGTAGTCGCACCGTCACTCGCGTACGTACGAGAGAGACAGAGAGATAGATAGATAGATAGATAGATAGAAAGAGAGAGAGAGAGAGGCGCCGCGTGTACACAATCACGATCACGAGGCAGCGACGTGGGAGGAAAAGAGGTAGAGGAAAAAGAATCACGAGGATACAGCGGGGAAATAGTAGGCGCTCGAGAGAAGAGGGAGAGAGAGGAAGAGAGAGAGAGAGAGAGAGATAGAGGGAGGGAGGGAGAGAGAAAGAAAAAAATAGACAGAAACCGGACGAGCTGCGCGGAGTACATTCGATGTCGCATTCGGGTGCAGTCAGTGGCAACAATCGAAGCGACCGTTAGGACATCAGTGACAGTCCTCTGGGACAGAATTGGGATTGATCGTTCACACCCGGGAATAGTCGAATATCTCGAAAATAGCGACGGTTGAGGCAGTGAACGAGAGATTTTCTCGCAAAAGGACTCTCTGGGACGAGGCAACGGCACCAGTGTGTGAAATTCGGAGCGTAGACACAAGTAGATTATTCCTCGAACAATTATAAACGGTGTGTAATACGTGTCAACGGACTCGGATGGTCGTTTCGAGGACTGCTTTCGTCTCGTTGAGTTAGTGATTTCGCAGAAAAACAAGCGGACTCGCACTGCCGCGGACGCCGATCATCAATTAGAGTGAGTAATATTGCTCCGCACTGCATGCGACGCCCACTGCGGGCATTTAAATCTCTCGGCGGACACTGCGCGCCGGGCGTCGAAGTCTCCGGCCACCGCTTCGTGTTCATCGCGAGATAGCGCGTTTCGCGATAGTCTCGATAGAGACTCGAGATTTGTTCTTTTTTTTTTTTTCGGTGATATGGGAAGATTATATCGAAAAAAGAATGAAAAAAGTAAGGCACAAAATAATGCGTGACAAATTTTTAAAAGACGCGTGAGAAAAATGTTTGGTAAACGCATAAAATATTCGTAATTGAATAAAATCTTTTTCATTCGTTCGTAAATATTCTCTTACGATCGTGATAAAATTATTAGTCGCATTTTACGCTCGCTTAGAAAGTTCTCTTTTTTTTCCTCGGCGAATTCGGTTTCTTTAGCTACCAGCCGATGGCCTCGATTTAACGATCGACCCCTGCGCCATTTTTAATCAAACATAAGGCGGGCGAATAAAGTCGGGCGTAGATTTCATATTGTTTGTATCCGTCCACGTGTCATCGACAACGTCGGCAAAGGCACGCTCGTCCCTCCGACACGCCCCTAGGCAGCTTTTATGGCTTTTGTGCTTTCGAGATGTCCGAGTGGTGGGGAGCGGGGGAGAGGGAAGGGAAGGGTAGAGGGGGACGGACGGGGTTCGGACTCCGGTGTGTGATCTCTCACGTGCGGTTAGTCGAGGTTAGTCGCGTCAAATGAAAACATTACCGTCACCCCTCGTCCCGACGCCTGTTGCTATAATATTTGCCTACTGGTATGTAGCCCATATAGTAATTCTGCGACACAAAGGACCCCGGGGCGACGACGACACTTCTCCGGCGAGCGTACATTGTTACCGTAAGTGCGAGAGAGACCGACCGTTACAATTATTATGCATGAGACCGCCGGCGAGACTCTCCCATGTCAAAATATATTTATTGCTCTCTCCCTTGCCCGCGCGCGCGCGCGCCTCTCACCGTTTGCTCCGCTTTCTTCTTCTTTCACCGCGGCGGTGCGTCAGCCACCTTTGTTACCCTTTCATACGGTTATTACCCACTTGTATGCCCGTGCGAGCTCTGCGCCCGAGACAGAGGCCCGCCAAGAGGATCGCGATGATCTCTCTCCTCCTCGCGATCCGCGCGCATCGCGCACGCACGTGCACGCGTGCACTAGCGCAACGGGTTTTGCATGCTCGCTCTCCTCAGGGACGCGTCTTCATTTCGGCGGGTCACGCGAAAAGAGCCGCAAGCGCGCTTGCGTTGCCGTTGCTCTCGCGGTGAGCTGGCTCCCGCAAAACGGCTCATCGATGAAACGTTCGACAAACGGCTGACAATCGATATTTTTAGACAGCCGATCGCCCCGGGCCATCCTGTTTACCGCGCAAACGGAAAGGAAAGGGTACTGTTTATCAATGAATACGGCCTTGACTTTCGGGGTCCGGGATCGGATCTATGTTCCGATACTTCCGCGTACGTGTTTGAGAAGCGTTATATTTTATTTACTTTCAAATATTCTCCAACTTATTTTGAGCACAAAAAGTGCCTGGTCGAAAAAATTAATTGAATAAACTACAAAATGCTTCTACAAGTCGGATCTGACCTATATTTACCTTGTTATTCGAAGATTAAGATAATGAGAAAGCGACATCAAAAGAGCGAGAGAATTGACAAATAATATTTATCCTACCTCCTCGTGGCTTTTGATGCAAATGAGAAAGAAGTCGATTGCAAAAAGGTACGAAAACGGGGGGATAGAGAATAATCGGCAGATTTTTGCGAGATAAATCACAAGATTAAGCGTCATAGTCTCTCGCTCTCTGACCTGAACGTCGCGCCTCATTTGCATATTAACCCCTTCCGAAGTCGCTCGTTGTCGTCACGGGGTCGTGATCTGACTTAACGCCTTTTTGCCGGCTTCTTGCCTCGCTACCCTCCGCATCAGCCGCGGGAAGTACCGAGAGTCGTGACAAATACGCGTATTATCTTTTTTGTCCTATTCTACGAACGGAGCCCGAGGCCCTGACCTAATCGTGGCGGCGAGGCACATAGGTGGAATACTCGATTAAGAATCCGGTATATCCACAGATCTCCAACCCTCTCACGCGGTGGTCACGTCGCGTTTAATCCGACGAAAAAGCGCGTCGTAAATTTTTCAGCGCGCGCGAACCCGCTCGCCCGTTTTTGCAGATCAGCGGCTTCTTCGTCCTCGTCGTCGTTATCTTCGAGCGCGCATTCAGTCGGCGTGAAAGAGTTGACCAAGTTCTGGGGCGGGGGGCACGGCGGGATGCGTTCTCTTTGTTGCAACGTGAACATTAGAAAATATTTCGTCGCGATATCAGCGAAACGCCGCAGCTGCGCGAGAGCGTGCAAGAGAGACGAAGAACGAGAGAAAGAGGGAGGGAGAGAGGGAGAGAGATCGCCTCGAGTGAAACGTGCGAGGGCATGGAAATGTCGCTCCTTATCTCATCCGTCCGGATCGTAAGGCTTTCAAAAGGAGCGTTTAACGGTGTGCACGCAAATTACCCGTTACTTTTCTAATCTAATCCGATGCTCTTTGTGTTCGCCCGACAATGATTCGCGCGGTACAACGATCCACACTCGACCCCGCTTCCGTTTGCACGACGATGTATCTTTGAGGAACGGTCGCGCTGAGTGGACAATTGGATCGTCTTATCGCCGTGCGGGCAAGGACGACGGATGAAGACAGTCGCGGATATATCCGTTCGAGCGCTACGATACGCGCGTTTCGAACGGGCTTAAGATAGTTGCAGCACAAAATCACTTCTTAAGAATTCGTTGAAACTTTTGCACTGTATATAGATTAAAATATGATCTAATTATCGGCGCAATTATCAGCAGATCATTCGGAAGCTGAGATATTGGTATAAAGATGATACTTTTTTTACGTATTCCCTGAGATTAATATCTTATCTTTAATTTCTATTTTTTTATTTTTTCTAAGCCGTATTTAGAATTTTAATGAAAAACTACTGTGATCTATTAAGGAACAATATAGAGAAATTATACAAAAATTTCAAAATTATCGGCCATTTTGTTTAAAAAATACAACGGTGTAAAGTTCATAAATTATAATAATATACATGTACACATATTTAAACACATATATACTTCTTTCTATTATCTATGCATCTCTATTAGATCAATTAATGCATAAAAATATCATTAGTTAGAAAAATAAGAAATAATATTTTCATATTTATAATATTGTGTGTATACGTTTATTTCAACTTTAAATTAACATTTATTATTTAGCTAGTGATATAAATATATAAGAACGTAATTTTGGTTAATAAAGATTAAATTTATGAGCGGCCTCCTCGATGCGCTACTGAACATACGGCACTGCGATACAACTATATCTTAATGGATTTTTGTTTTCGGAATAATGCACTGTATTGTTCGACGCGTGTCATCGGGGTGAGTTTAGCGCTTTCTTCGGGATATTTCCTCGGCGAGATTCCGCGCGAAGTCTCGAATGTTGTCTTCGCGGAAATCACGTTTATATCGCTCGGCTTACGCGAGCATGCACACGTGCGCGTACACGGGAGAGAGAGCCTCCAGATGCTCTTTCGGTTGGCGATATTGCCGGCGTCGTTACAGGGCCGTGCCTTCGGCCTTTTATGAGATTATAAATCAATGGTGGCGCGCTTAATCGCCAAATAAAGGGAGATTAAATTGCACCGTCGAGGCGTACCGGTCTCTCGCGCGCGCGTCTCTGAGCGAGCAGAAGACAGATATAAAACCCGGAGCTTTTATTCGAACGAACCCCCCGTTCCCCCTCTTCCTGCAACACGAGGTTATTTAACGAATTCCGTCGAAGGCTACCACCCAGTATACGATTTTCGTCCGGGACTCGGGATTTACTTTGAAAGTCGCGATCTCAGGATCGCAATAGATTATTCGGATTTGGAGTTATAATTTACTCTCTAACGCTAAGGTGGATTTTCAGAAGGTCAAAGCGTTCCTCCAAATGTTTTATCGCGATTATTTAAAGTCACTTCATAAACTTTATTTTATTTTTTCACCTATAAATAACCAGAGGGAAAAGTTTCATGTTATTATTTGCTTCCTTTCATCCATTTTGTACATTAATTAGATGAAAAATGAGCGAAACAGAGCATGGGGTCGGATCCGACCCCAAGCTTACCATTAGAGGATTAACAAAAATTTGTTATTTTTAGTCGAGAGTTTCGCGATTTTGTCTCGTTTTGTCCCGCGTTGCAAGAAACTGAAAGACGCTCTGTTACGATGTGTCGACACGCGCTGAGACTCCGTATGAGTAAATCATCACACGCATCACGATTTAGATGACCGTGCAAAGTCTCGCCGTCACGCGAGGTACGTTATTTGGCGGATCTGGATCGCCGCTTAGTCACTATCGACGCATGCGATGTTCGCGACGCACGCGAACAGCGGATTCTCGATTCCTTATTCACTCACGTTTCGCGAAGAATTATTCACGAGGATTCCGAACTCGCTGTCCGGTGTTCTCCCCTTCTCTCTTCTCCCCATCACGGTTAATCTGCGACTCGAGAGGTGGATCGATAACGTGACGGTTGATTTGTTTTCCGCCGAGGATTCCGTCGGATTATTCTTTGCTTTTCCTCCTTCCTTATCATCAGCGCATTCCGCCGATGTTATATATTCATTCGGCGCTGCGAAACGTGCCGCTCGCAACGCATCCTGCGCGCGAGGAGCAGCTGCTCCCGCGGCTCGAGAGCAGCAGCGCGACGTTGCACGTGCACACGGACGACGCATTCGCATGCACGAGGACGTATATACGCGGGCATAACGAATCACGGTGCTTCCGTGGAGCACCCATCGCGATTCCCACAAGTGCGAGAGGGTCGCGCGCGCGCGACCGTTCTCGATTGACCCTCTCTCTCTCTCTCTCTCTTTCTCTCTCAGCGACTCGAGTGGCGGACGAAAATCGCTGTTAAAAATCGGATCGGTCACGGCTCGAGGAGG